TCAGGGATAGTTGCTAATATTTTTTGAACTATTCTTGAATCAGAAAATTCAGAACCAAGAAATCTTACCTTGTTGACAATGCTAAGAAGCTTATCAGTATATTCTTTGATTGTCTCTAGCTCCTTCATTTTCTACATCTCAAATTCTCTGACTAGATTCAGCACTTGCATTCCCTTGATCCTCTCATCTCCTTCATATTCATTCTTGAGGAAATTCCAGATTTCAAATGCTAATTTCATGGTCATAATTCTGGTGAAAATTGTTGGTGAGACAACAGCAAACAAAGAAGCTTTTGCCTTTTAATTTCTTGTTTTCCTTTCCTTATGATTTCTGAGTTATGCCATTGTTGGATTGTTTGGTAATGGAAGAACTTTGTATTCTTCCTCAACATCTTCCCAGAAATCATTTGCCTCTAGGTGTGCCTCCATTCTGACTGCCTAGACATGATAATTGTCACCATTAAACACTGGTAGTGTTAGTACTCTAAATGGTGTTTCAGAATCCATTTATTTAATGAATGGAAGCACGGTGTTTAGGCCTTTTTTGGTGAGGTTCACTCGGTTCACTCCCAAATCCCTTTAAGAAGACAGCTCTAATACCAATTTGAAGTAATTGTAGCTTAGTTAAACTCAACTAAGAACAAGAGAAATAGAGCATTTAAAGAACAAAAGAAAATGGGAGAAAGTTATCTTTTTATTAAAGAATGATCAGCTTAAATACATGAGTTTGCAACTAAAAATCAGAAATAAAAGCAACAAACTCCCTAAACTTTAGCTACTAGCATTAATAGCTAGTAAATAACAGAAAATCAAAACAAATCTCCTAAAAACTTGGTCAAAGAGTAAAATGCACTGAATATTAGTTGCAACCCTTAAAACCTGATTTTAAAGACACCTGGGATTCAAACTTGAGCTTGCAACCTCAGTTTCACATGTGCAGCCACCTCTACTAGCCATGTCAGCATCCATATCAGCAACCCTACAGCTACTGATGCACACATTCAACAGACATGTATATCTTTCAAGCTACCCTTAACCCATTCACGAACCTGGTTCTAGGAAAGGTGCTTGTAACAACCACAAGTCCGAATTAAATGACCTTTCAGCCCTATTTGTAGTTCGGAATGGTACTTGGAAAAAAACAAGGGCAAGTTAGCACTCTTCCCAAATTTAGGATGTCATAGTCTTTTCCTCAGAGCAAGATGAGAGAAAAAACTCTCCGGAATTTACTTGGTATCTAATGGTTACTACGGTAGCTGAATAAAACATAAAGGATTAACTGGTAATATGGGGTGCAGCCCAAATATCCACAAAGCACAAAGGAGAGGAAACAACTATTACCAAATCATATCAACACCGTTGAAGCATACCAACCCAACCCTAGCAAAAGACCACAAAAAAATGACATCTGAAAAATTATTGCTTCAACCTTTAAATTGAGGTAAAGACTATATGTTTCTTTCCTTCTAAATGCACCAGAAAAGAGGAACTACTTCCCATGTAAAGCATCTAGTCTTTACCTCTTGACCTTCCCTCCATGCAGCAACCAGCTAAGTTAACAACTTAAGAAAGTCTATCTATCCCCCCAAATGCATCAACAACTCTGCTGTGACACTATAAAAAAGAAGGTGAAACACTATCTCCTATACTCCTTTGACAATTTTGAAGCTTGTTTTCAGTGCTGGAGTAGTATTTCATGATCGTGTGAAAGAGAAAACCACCGCCCCATGCACAAGGCTTCGGCCACAGCAAATTGTTGGGAGGTCAAATGTGTGTAGTTTATCCCTTCAGTTAGAGAGATTATTTTCATGGCTCAAACCCATAGTATCCAGGTCGCACCAAAAACAATTTTACAAGTGGGCTTATGAGACAAACCAACTATATAATGAGGTACCAAAAGAAATAGGAAAATACAAACGTCAAGGAAGTGAGTGACTGACTGACTCATTCTACAACAAGAATTTACTTGACCAAATCTTTTTACACCCAAATGATGTAAAAGGAGTAATATGCTTTGGAAGTCAATTCTTGGTGAAAAATAGTGGTCCCTTATATCATAAATAGAGTTTGAGGGATATTTGGCAAGTCCTAAATAACTGGAATTGGTTACATGAATTTTTTTAATTAATTGTTTACAATTTAATAGAATATAGATCACTTAAAGAGACTCTTGTCACTGTGAGGTATGGGGTATACTATTTATCTTCTATCATAGTCTTTTCCACCGCCTTATTCCAAATTAATTTTAAGTCTTCCACTTCCTCTAAAATTTCCACCATGAAATATCATCAAGTCACTCTTACTCTTTGGTACATGTCCAAATTATCAAAATCAATTTTCATATTTATCTCCAATAAGTACTAAAACCTACCCATCTACATATTATTGTCTTACCACACATTCATGGTAGTATTCTCCTTTTAGTTACACTCATCTGAAAATAAAATTAAGGTTACATTTATGTTTTGTGAGTGCCTTGAAACTTGAATTTGTACTTGAAATGAATGATTTAAAGTTACTAAGAGATAAATTTAGCCCAAAAACAATCGCCATGTGCATGAGAGAGAGAGAGAGAGAGAGAGTTTTCACATTGCAAAGAGAAAGGCTGATGCTTCCCAGGAAAGAACAACCATCAAGAATTGTTGGAAAACCTCGGATTAGTGCCTCAACCTAGCTGACATATATCAAACAACCTCATTATTGGGCATGTCCTTATTATTGTATCAGTGCTAGAATAACCAAAACATTAAAAGGACTTGGATGGTTTCATGGATGAAACTATGTCTCCAAACGAATTTCTGCTACCTCAAAATACTTTAAAATTTAAGCTTATTGCAAAATTAAAATTGGTTTCATTTACTTAAAATGATTTTCCCACATACTAATGGCTCTAGATCTAATGCCCAATTAGCATTAGGCCCTTAGGCTTTTTGCCATTCTGAGTCCAAATTACATTGCCAACTGCCCTATCTCAGAGCTTTCACATATTTTTTCCGAATTTACTAGCACATGAGATTGTTAACAGCCTAGGTAACAAAAGAATCGTAACCTTTCAACCCAATTCAAATCTCAAACATACCATATTGTGTCTCCATTTAAACACTTACGCAGTGTTTGGCACGTGGTATTAAACCAAGGGAATGAAATGAATATTACTTGGTAATAAGCATTCATTTGTTTGGTTTGTGGTAATTAAAATTTATTCTCATTCCTTCCCATTCCAAAAGAATAACTAATCTCATAAAATATGGGATTACTAATCTATATAATAAAGTAGTTAAATTGTTTGTCTTGAACTGTTCGCAGTTCAGATCATTTTGATCCGATGATCCTAATTGGACTTTCATTCGTTTTACAACTCTAGGACTCTTATCTCTCACGTAACTCTTTCTATATATATCTTATACTCTCTCTCATACTATTTTTTTTTATTTTCCCTGTGTTGTTTTTTCTATTATTTACTTTATAAAACAAATGAAACTATATTTTATGCAATTATTTATTCCATAAAACTAATTCAAAGTTTTTATATATCTGACGACATGTATTTTGTCACTTGCTTTTAATTTGTAAATAACACTTAATGTAAATAAAAATAACACATTGACTATAAATACCAAATAATATTCAACACAAAATAAACCTTAGAAAAATTGACATTAAATTTTGTCCAATTTATATTCAAATTTTTTGAATTAATATCAAATTTATTTTTATTGTTATCAAGTTAATATTGAAATTCATTTAATCAATTTTTTGGAGTACTAAATTATATCAATTTTTTGGGTACTAAATCAAATTTACTTGATTTTATTAAATTTTTAATTTTTTTGGTACTAAATTTGTAAAAGGACAATTGTAAAAATAATAAATTTTTTGTGATGAAATTATCAATTTTCATTAGCAACATTGACGGAATAGAGACATCAATGGACCTTTGATCTAATATTACTTCTTACCTTATGAAAATTTTGTCTTCTTAAGGTCAAAGGTTCAAGTCCCCCTTCCCCTCCCCCTCCCAAAAAAAAATTTTTTTTTAAATATTGACGGAATGGAGACAGAGGGGATCTCTGTGCAATAAATTCAAACTTCAGGGAGTCTTCGTATTATTTGTAAAATATCATGAGGTTTCTGTATAATATTTCTAAAATGAAATGTCTGTGATTTTTACCCTGTTTTTAATTAAATATTTATTTATTATTATTTTATCTTAAAAACTTGAATTATTGTGTTTTTAATAAAAGCAGTCATTGGTTAGGAGGATTTGTTGGTAACCAACATAGAAATGTGTGTGGATTTGTCTCTGTATATATTTATATGTGAAGAATTGAACATTTGGTAATTAAATTTATAATTATATTATGTCATTTGGGGTTGAATGGTGATAGTGGGGATAAATTCATAAGTTTTATAAATGAGCAAAATTTGAAAGATTTTATTTATCGATTAAAGATTATGAATTTAATTGTATTCTGTTAATATTTTTTTTTACATGAAGTATTTATTGCATGAGGATATGGTGAATTAAAAATATGGCGATTGAGTTTATAATTATGTTGTACTATTGGATTTAGTAATAGTAGATATGATAAATTAGTGAGTTTTATAAATTAAAAAATTCTATTTATTACTTAAAGATTATAAATTTCAATAAATTATGTTTGTATTTATTTTTTTTCGAAGACATTTATATATATGACACTGTTTTGAAGAATTTTTATTTTTATAACAGTTCCATTAATATAAAAGTTATGATCAACGATATATTTCAACCCATGGCATTCCACTCCTTATCCCATCCCCTCTTACCTACTCTCTCCTTGCTAATCGATTTTTGAAGAAGGGGCAAAATCGACTGGCCACACTAAACCACTTTGGAATCACCGAGTATGTACCTGTTGACTTTCATATATTGAATGTTTCGGCTCCCAGCAACCAAATTGTGAAGTATAGATGTGAACCAAAAAAAACTTGTATTGATAAAAGTACAAGACTAATGCACTTCTATTTCGCAATCATTATTTTTTCTCAATTACAATCCATTTTCATTTAGCAAACACACACTCCAAGACAGATAGGTCTCACTTATTCACTCACACTCGAGCTTATGATACACCAGAAACACACAAAAAATACCATATACTAACATTTGGGCAGAGGCGTCTGCCCACCAGCAGAGATTTTGGATCCTCAAATGACACACCATAGGAGCCCCTCAGATTACACACAACAGATTCAGCCCATGCCGGTTCTTCACCGACTAGAAAGCTACCCCGAAGTGTCCATTAGATGCGGCAATTGAAGCGTCCAGAGAGAGAATTCTAGAGAGAAGTATGATCAACAAGAAGAAGGCGAATCTGAAGCGAGAGAAGAAAATGGAGAGGGATCAAGAAGAATGAAGAAGAAATTGGAGGAGAGAGAGTCGGAGTTTACTCTTCCTTCGGGTATTACTATTTTCCCATCAGATGGATGCTTTTACCAAGACCAAACTATTTTCCCATGTAATAGGTTTGGCCGCTAACAATCCAAGGACTGTATTTGCCGATCATTGATCCAAATCTTAGGAACGTGAGCTATCTTTGGCCAGTCCTCGCCTTTTTTTTCCTCACATCGCCACTCCAAATGTGGACATCCAGAAATTTGCAGCAATTGGAGGCTTCCTAGCCCGTTCGGTAGAGAAACTAATCCATTACAATCCCTTAAAGTCAAATTTTGGAGAGCATTTAAATGTTGGATGCCTTCGGGCAAAGACGTCAGCTCTGGACATTGTGTTATGGACAATCCCTGGAGAGCAGTCAGGTGTTTCACTCCTTCAGATAAATAACTTAGTTTCTTGCAGTAAAATATGTTCAATGATCTCAGGGAAGACAAGCCTTGTAACCCAAGCGCTGGTAAGGACGTAAGACTCTCACAACCAACTATATGGAGAATCTCTAGGGATATGAGGTGTTTGAGCCCTTCTGGTAAACACTCAAGACTGCGGCAACAACGAATGACCAAGAGTTTTAGAGCAGAAAGATTATCCATCTGACGTGGCAGAATCTTGATACGGCATAGCTTATTAATATCTAGGGACTTAAGAACCTTGTGATTTTGAAGCAGACCGTCTGGAAGAGCCTCCAACTCATCATAATCTGATAATCCAAGCCAGGAAAGTGAAGTGAGATCCATCACTGACCTAAATAACCTTGTGTTACTCCTTTCTATTACTAATCTCTTTAGTGCAGGAAGATTAGGCAAATCAGCCAACTTGGGACACCCTGTGATCTCTAATTCACGTAGACAACCCAAACTTTCTCCTCCGTCTGTTGTTGTCCATTCCTCTAAACTAGGCATTTCCTTGAATATGAGCTTTTCCAATGCTGGAAATGATTTTTTCCCATCTCCATGGCATTCATTGTTGAAGTGCTTCACAGCATTCATTCGAACAATAGAAAGAACCTCAAGGAAGGGTAGTTTCCCGAGGAGAGGAAGATGTTCACATCTTTCACACCGTATTAGAGATATTTGAACTAGATTTTGAAGATCCAAATCCAGCATCCAATTAGGAAACTTCAAGCCTTGATATGCATATATGGTCAACTTTTTCAGATTTGAATGAGGTTGGAGTCCATCAAGAATTTCTTCAACATTATTTGGAAAGTTTTGTCTCTTCATGTCCCGGTCCCAAAACAATCTAAGATCCCAATACAATCTAAGATCACAAAGATTATGCTTTCTCTTTAAATTGGAACTTCTTGCATCCTCTGGATTTTTTACGTAATTGAGTTGTTTGATGGTCAACTCACCACCAAGATTTAATTCCTTCAGCTCGCTTATTTGCCGACTGTGGTGTGGACCCACGATAAACATGCTCAAAGTTTGTAGGCAAGTTAATTGCCCTAACCCAACTGGCATACAAGTAAGAGAATAACAATTTCTAATGTCTAGACATATGAGATTTCTCATTTGCTTCATACCTTTTGGCAACTCACGAAGGGAACGACAACCTCTCAGCTTCAATGTCTGCAAGTTTTGGAGACAAGTTGTTGATTCTGGTAAACTGATGATATCAGAGTGCGACACGTCAAGGTACCTAAGATGCTTCAAATTCCCTATTGAAGATATTAATTTTTCAATGTGAATCCCTCGAACTGCCAACACCCTCAGGTACTTTTGTTTTGAGATATAGGTAGCCAAATTATCCTTCCAATTATCCAGCCAATATAAGTCAGGCATTAAAAGTAAAATAAAGGAGCGCAAAGACTGCTTTGCGCGCATATCCTTGCTCTCAGGACTACTCTTATAGAAAGACAAATGGCGAATCTTTTCTGGGATTTTCAGCACTTTACCATGCTCCATTGTACAACATTCTTGTATCATAATAGACTGGGCAAGATCATGCATCAAATCGTGCATTTTACACGTCAAGTCACCATTGTGGTTTTCCTTGACATCTTGAAAGAAAGACCTGCAAACCAGATCATTGAAACACTCACGGGCTATAAGAAGTAGATTTGTTTGTCCTTTGGATGGAATGAAGCTGTTTGCCATCCACAGCTCTATTAGCATGTCCACCTCCATTTCATAGTCTTTGGGAAATATAGAACAATAGGCAAAGCATTGTCTCAAATACGGATGTAAATTGTCGTAACTGAGCCTTAGGATAGGTAAGATAGCATTTTCAGAATCCGATAAATCCCAAATATCACTTTCTTTCACAAATAACCATTCACTTATGTTGCTTTTAAACCACATCAGGCTTCCAAGAGCTTTGACTGCAAGGGGCACCCGACCACATTTCTTCACTATTGCTTTGCCGATTGTTTCCAACTCTAAGTTTTCCTCCCTCCCACTCCCAAATGCACGTTGCTTGAACAAGGTCCAAGAATCATCGTCCGACAAATATCCCAGGTGATATATTGGAAGTGTAGCCATCATGCGAGCAACTTTCTCAATCCTGGTGGTTACTATAAGCATACTTCCTTTCGATCCACACCTCAATACATCTTTTAGTCTATCCCACTTGTCATTTTCTTCATTCCACACATCATCTAGCACAAGTAAAAATCTCCTGCCCCTCAATCTTTCTTGGAGGTGTCGTTGCAGCAGATCCAATTCTGAGATATTGCACCCAACACCTTGTAAATAAAAATTTTCACAGCTTAGACCGCATCTAATAACAAAACAAATACATGTAAAAATAATAATGCTACATAAGTATATAGCAGTAGTGAATAATACCTAAAGCAAAACAAATTAGCTTTAACAGAATAGTAAGTGTACCGAAAAGCATACAAGTTAGACTAGATGTAAAAACAGAACGTAAATAATAAAGTGTATTGCAGTGTGAACAATAGTGAAGAAAACTTACTATTCAATATCTAGCCAATGCCAAATGAACAGTACTTTACTCAACATGAAAAAAATAACATGTAATTTAAAACTTGATAAAACAGGATACGTGTATAAGTAAAAAATGAAGTGTTGGCTTGCGAGTCCCGAGAAGCATTTGATCATTGTCCTAAAACAGCTAAGCCTCCTCGTGTGAAAGTACTAACGGACTCAAGCAACGTTAAGATTCAACCCAAATGTCCGTGGCAATACTTCCTCATTAGTCACGTCCATCGGAAAGCAGAGGTGAATCTGACTTGAATCGGGTTACACAAAATAATCTAATTCAAGATAATAAATATTAGAAAATTCATGAAAGAGTCAAAGTTATCAAAGTTGGTGAAAAAGACGTAAGATCTCTTACAGCAAAATGAAAACCAAGTACTGATTTTTTCATATGGTTTTCAAGTACTGCTCAAGACCCTTCATATAGGCAACAAGTCAATCAACTCGAAAATCTCAGTCATCAAACCATTTACCACTCTAACATTATAGACTTGAAAAAGTTCATAATATTTCTTAAAATTTTTACCGTTAGGCTACTCATTTGAACAGTCAATACTCATGTAACAAATGAATAAAATCCTGCAATAACGTGAACATTAAACATCCAATCTACCTGAAGATTTTATAAACTTCAAATTTTAAAAAAGTAGAAACTGAAAATTCAATAAGAAAGTTTTAAATTTTATATTTATTCCAACGCACCTTCTATCAACTCGATGATTGCCTTGGTCAGCCGTTGTATGCTGAAATCATCAGATACACACACCCAAATCCTCATCTCAAAGTGAGCCTGTACCCTTGGATCATTGTAGACCAACTGAGAAACTGTGGTCTTTCCAAGTCCCCCCATACCCCATATGGCGTAGACAGAGAGATCATCTTGATAGCTCAAACTGCTAAGCAACACATCAATTATCAATTCTTTCTCCTCATTTCTACCGTAGATTTCTGACTCAATCACGAGGGAGCCAGTTTTTCTTTCCTCCATGTTGTAAATTTGTGAATCTATAACACCCTCTTTCAACTGGAACTTAAGACTCTCCCCTGCAATGGCATCTAATCTGTCCCCGATATCTTTCACCTTATGAGCCATTCTTAAGCGGAATACGAAAGGATTTCGAGCCGTGAAGAAGGCGCTTACTTGGTTTATCCCACCTCTTCGACGGTCTACCCTTCGTTTGAGAACTTCTGTGGCAAACTCGTCCAATAGATTGTCCGCATCATAAGCAGCATCCTTAAGTTTACTCAGCCAATCCTGCAGTGTTGCATTCTTGGTTTGCTTAGCCTCGGCATCTTGAAGCACAGCTTGGATTGCAGTGAAAGTACTCTTTAATTTCTGGATCTCATCCTTTAGGCCCCAAGCTGCCCCAAATTCTTGCTGTAGGTAAGAATTCAAGTTACCCAAGATGGTACTCACAAGGCCAGAAACAAGTGCATCTGCCATACTCTCTCTTTGATTTTTGGAACTCTACCCAGAAGGAGGTTCAGATCAGACAGGATTGCAAGCTGAAACAAGATTATTGCTCACACTTTGGCAAGGAAAATGAATGAAAAAAGCTGTATCAGTACCAATAATGTATAGGAAATTCACTGAGAAGCTACTGGCCAAGGCAGGTGAAGACTTTGGTACATTGGGCTCCAAAGGTTTTGAATTGGACAGACGACTAGACCGGTATGGCTTTATTGCAACCTTTACCATTCTCTTTTGAGAAAATTACGAAAAGGTACATTATACATTATTTATTTATGAGGAAGTAATTGTATATAAATTTTTTGTGTATAAATCCTTTTTTGTGTAAATGTTTTGTAAATACATACATTTTGGCCGTTTATTAAATATTTCATTTAGTAAAAGTTCTTTTCCTTTATTCATAAAAGATAATTTAGGCACTTAATTATGAGATTCAATTTTCTATTTCAATAGGATAACTAGATATTTTTTGGGTATTTAATTATAGGATTCAGTTTTCTATTTCAATGGGACAACTAAGCGATTTTTTAGGCAGTTAATTGTGGAATTCAGTTTTCTATTTAAATGGACACATTTGAATTTTGAACTACATTTTATTCTTTCATTCAACAGTTAGTGTTTTAAAAACTTTGTCAAACCTTACATATGATGTGTATATATTGCGTGACATTGAAGTCATGCACACTGTGATGCCACACTTTTTCAAATCCTACGTATGGATGTAAATATGTAATGTGAAATTGACGTTATATTATGATGGCCATAATGTGTCAAACTCTACATATGGATGTGTATATGCACTGTGAAATTGATGTCACACTGTGTTGCTCACAATGTGTCAAACCCTACTTATGAATGTGTACATGCAGTGTGAAATTGATATCACACCGTGATACTTACAATGTGTTAAACCTTGCATATGATGTGTATATGCAATGTGACATTTGTTGTCACACCAATGTTATCACATACTCTATCAAACTTTGTTGTAGTTGAGAGAACTTTTTTGAGTAGGTATTGCGTTTCATTTGAATTTCAAATTTTCTCCTTAAATCATGCCATCTCTACCTACCAATGGTGAAAACATGTGAATAGTTGCCGCCTCTTTCCCTTTTTCTCCGTAGTTTCTTTATATGAGTGGAAAACCTCTTCAACTTAAAAAAAAAAGTATTTTGGACTTTAACTATTAGTTGGTGGACCTTTTTACAAATATTTTACAAAAGTATACTTTCCCCTTAATAATTATAGTATTGTGTACTGCCCCCCTTTTCCCTACTCTTTTTTTCCACGTTGGGCTCCACACGTATTCATCAATGGGGAAATTATAAGGAGATACATGAAAATTAGAGTTATTTGTCAAAAAAAATATATAGTTCATAATATTAGATAATTAAGTCCTTATTTTTAAAACTTAATTGTGTTCATATACAAAATTTGATTTTTTGTGATTTTTTTTTTTAACATATTTATCTTCTCTTAAATCATGCATATTTTTTTTTGGTAATTAATTAGATTTTTGATTTTATTTGATTGCATTAAAGATTTCTTAATATAATGGAAGAATTATAGTATAATAAGATTTGCATATAATGTTCATTGTATATATATCTACAATTTTTGAATTTTAAATTTTTTTGTCATTGTCATTGCTAGTAAACATCTCTTTCTTTCTCTTCTCTAAATTATCAGTTATTAACGTTCAAAAAATCTCAAACCTATTATTCTTATTATTCTCCAATGAATACGAAAAAGTTTACACATATTGTATTTGTTCTTCTACAACATTCATATATTATCAAGTTGAACTTATGCTTTCTTTAATTTTTATTTTATTCGTTCCACAAACTGCTAGTTAGTTTTGAGATTTTGTTTTTTCACAGTTTTTGTATTCGTTTCTACTTATTATGTTGAGTGGTCACTTTTTTGGTTAACTTTTCATCTTTCAAATGATTATTTGTTAATTTTAATATTTTTTTGTTTTATGATTTTTTTTAATAGTTTTGTTTTTGAATATTGAACACTACAATAATGACTATTATTTAAATTCTAAATTGTGTTTTCTTCTTCTTTTGTATGTTATTTTTGTGGTAGTTTCTTCGAGACTAACAGATGTTATGTATTTGTTCAATTCATATTTATATGGTGTATATTAAATTACTTTATAGTTTGAATTCATATGAAGTTATAATTTAAAAATGTATCAATACAGTGTGACACTAAAAGGTTTATGAAATTAAATGTTTAATTTTTGTATATTCACAATCATAATATCAAATACATGTAATTTATCCCAACAAAAAAATCAACTACAATCACCAATAAAAAAAAATGTTCAAGAATTATATGATTATGGCATATTTACAAAAATTTAAAGTATATCAATACAATGTAGCAAAACAATGTGTGAGTACTAGAAATTAGGGTTTAAGAATTACACAAATATAAGGTGTATCAATATAATATAGCAAAATAGTGTAAGAGTAATAAAAACTACGCTTTATAGCGTGACTTCGCAGTATTATATGTATATTAACATCTATATACGTGACCAAATTAAATCTAATGTAAAATCAAAATTCTTTAATTTTAGTACTTTCTAAGATAAGATAATTAAAATTCTTTAATTTTGGTTGTCAAATGTCAAAAGTTTCTATTCCTAAAAAAATGGAAAGGATTTATTATAAATTTTGATTAGAAATCATATATAATAAAGGAATTTATTTACAATAAAAGGTATTCAAGTTTTTCTATTTCTTAAGTGAACGTTTTTATAAAATATTTTTTTTTATACACTTTTTGACAACTAAGTCCAACTTTATATATCGACAGTTGAAGAACCCTTGATCAATAAGGTATCTACAGTCTACTGATAGGGCTCCACACCACACGGTACAATGTATTCGTGCAGCAGTCATGACAATAACAAGAACAATAAAGTATAATATTCCATTATTGCCCCGAAAATACATTTTGAACGTAAATGAACATCTAATTTAAAGATTTAATTAAATGTAATCATTGAATTGTTAGTAAGTTCTATCTAATATTGAAATTCACTATTAATCTAATCATTATATTGAATTGACTCCTTAATTAGATCTCCAAATTAAAACTTTTTTTTTTTTTTACTCTTATTACCCCGGTCTAACATCTTGTGCAAGGAAACTCAGTAAACTCCTTAATCTTGAATAATTGAGTGGTTGCTTTCCTCTTTTCTAGTCGGGACTAATCTGTGTCGTTCCATGACTTTTACTCCAATTATACATCGTTAAACCTGACGATTTTTAGAGAAACCCGTAGAACCGGACGGTTAGAAGAACCGGGCGGGTCAGTTCGGTCTAGAAAGATCAAAAAAAATGGGCATTGTTGCCCTAGCCTGAATTTCTTAACTCTCGCGATCTCTCTCTCTCTGTCCACTCTCCATCGCCGACTCTCACTCAGTCGCCACCACCCACCACAGGGACGACTTTCGGACTCCGATACAATCCGAGTTTCCTCCCATTTCTTTCGTTCTCTCACTCTCATGCCCCAAAATCTCAAGAATCACCTCTTCTCTCTCACCGATCATCTCTCTTTGTGGGCATCCCATCTCCTTCTCTCTTACAAGTCACACACCAAACGTAATCTTCCTCCTTTATGTTTTTAATTATTTAACTCCACTTTTTTTGAAATTTTTTTCATCTGGGCCTGTGCTTCTGGTGTTCAATTTAGATTTGTTTGTTTACTGGAATGGTTTTTTTTTTTTGGTATTGTCGCCGGTGGTTCGATCTGGGGATATTGTTGCCGGTGGTTGTACTTGTTTTTGAGTTCTTAATTAACACCTTGCTTTTGATCTCACTTACATTGGACAATGACTGTGTGCACAAATGTTGGATCAAAAAATCAATATTAATATAAAATCAGGGAGTCATTTAATTTTTATGGCTTTTTAAATATTTTTACAATACATATTAAGTTTTTTTTTTAATTTTTTTATTATATGATTAGTTGAACCAATGATCCAACGGTTGAACCAATAATCCATTAACCCGGTCACTTTGTCGGGTTGAGGTTCGGGCCAATTTTTAAAACTATGCTCATACAAGCCTATTTTTAAATTTGTTGAAAATTTAGGCCTTATGTGGTCTGTGTTTACAAAATAATTTTTTATTCTCAAAACTTTAAAAATAAAGAAAACCTGTTTGGTTAGATTTTTTCAATCTCTAATTTTTCTTTTTAAAAAAGTAGGAATTGAGATGCAATTTTAGAGAACAAGTGAACGGTGTTTTGGCTGAATTTGGGAACAAGTTTCCAAGAAAAGTGAAAACACATGAAATAAACTCCTAATTAATGAGATTTCACCGTCGAATACATTGGCTACAAAATATGGCTTACTATATATAGCCTAAAACCCCCATTTTCCCTCCTCCTTATGTATACACATATCTGTGTGTGTGTATATATATATTAGGGGTAATCCGTACCTGAAAATATAATGTAATGTAAATAGTTATAATAGGGATGTTGGTAGGCGTTGAATGAGTTTATTTGAGACTGTCAGATAAACTTATTAAAATCTGTCTTGTTTTATATTATAAATTGTGCGATGCGATGTGTATTAGTGTGTGGGTGTGTTTTCTGTGTGCGATGGTTGTGTGTTTGCTATATTTATGGGTGTGTATTTGTTGTTTGTGTGTTTGATATGTGAGAAGATAGGGGGAGAGAGAGAGAGAGAGGAAGAAAAAAGGGAAAAATTCTCTAAGCATGACTATTAGCAAAGTATGATTTTATCAAATTAGAAGGCTTTGATCATGTATTCACTGTCCTTAAGGAAATTATGTCTCCACTATGTTGTTGCTGGATTTATGACAAATTCCTTTAGGATTAACAAAGCCAAACAAAATTTCAGATAACAAACTTTAAAATTCTCCCAATAACAGAATAGAGAAACGATTTTTTTGTATATACTTCAATTGAAAGATCTGTACAGGTATTTATAATACCTTAGTGAGGAGACACAACTCTTGAGGCAAAGAGATGTAAAGAGGAGACACAACTCTTAAGCCAAAAGACATTTAACAATTAATTAATACAAAAATAATTAATTATTTAAATGTTTCAAGCCCAAGTGTCCATCTTTTGATTTTAAAGATTATTTTATTTAAAATCTAATCAATGCCCATTGATTTGAAATATTTGGAGCTTCCCTACAAATCTTCATACCATCCAAATTTATAAAATTTGGTGTGTTTCTCTTTTTAAACTCTTACATTTCCTTTCAACTTTTCTAATGTGAGATTTTTTACATTACTGACTATCTCTAACAATGACCGGAGAGAGAGAGGAGTTATTAGATAGAAATTGGTTTTTAGATCATTGTTCAAATAGATTTTATTATTTTCTGTTCTTTAAAACTAGAGGTGATGATGCCTGATAATTCATGAAAAGATGTTTCTGTAGAGTTCATGCCCTTCGTTTCCTGGGAGCCCAAGAAACCTCTCATAGTGAAAGAGGGATGTGAGGGTTTTTGATAAGTTAAATGATACTTATAAGTCTGTTAGTGATGCCCTTAGACTTTCTTTCTTTCGTTTTCTCGGTCAACTTTTTCTTTCTTTCATTGGTAACTTTTGTTGTCGCAACTTCATTCTATGTGAGACATTTTGTTCCAATGTATATGGGTATATGGCGTGCAGGGAACAGGCGATCTAATGACTGTTCTGGTACTTGGATGGATCAATGTAATCACTTCAAATGTTTGCCAATTGGCCATATTAAGTTGTTTCGAATTATAGCTGCTTTATGAGCTGTCCAAAAATATCCTGATAACCTTGACAAAGCAGCAGAGCTTGCTGTATCAAGCTTGCAGGCACTTCTTCTGAGGACATTGGCCGACTATCAAAGTGCCGGATACAACCCACAATCAAGCAGTTTGGAGATTCGATTAATTCAGAGCCAGGATGACATTCGCAGCCCAGAAGTTAAATACAGGACTGAGGCATACAACTAAATCAACATGAGCATCGAAACTACACCAGTAATCATATCTAGTGAATACAATTACCAGAAACAATCAGTTGAGAATAATTCATTTAAAGCTTTATTTTAATCCATAAAAATGTTGCTGTATAATGTGTACACACGATCTATTTATAGTGGAATTTATATCGTCTATAGTTAGGTTTATGTTATGTATCGCCGTGTTTCTATCAATCCATTTATTATCGGGGCTTAGTGGGTCAACTAAGCTGTTTACCCCAACCATTAAGACAAATATATGCTCATAACTAGTTGATAATTTTATGTTTGGCTGAGAGGTTGCGTTAAGAGTTATATGTCCTAATTAATAAGCTTTACTCTATGTAACATGAAATCTTGAATGCTAGGAATCAAATCATCACTCTGGCATATTTAACCTCCAATTAGCACATTGTTGTCCATAAAGAGCAACGCTTCATATTGTAATTAAGGCAGTTGCTACCTATTCGAAGCCATTGGAGTAAGGGCGATTTCGAATTGCTTGCAGTCTTATATGTGAAACCATTCCCTGAATAGAATGTATTCACATGCTCTTAGGACACTTGGTTGCGACGAAAACTTCAAAAGCACGCAATCACCTGCTTACCACTCACATGCATTAAACCTAGTTCCCACCATGTCTGCAAATTCAGGGTTAACATTCAAAATAAAGAATGTACCAACAATATAGTAAGTATTTAATCTGGTACATATATAAAAGTTATGCTTGTTGATTATTCCTGTATATGGTTTTCAATTGATATCGGGTATCAAAGAATAATTGGATCCTTTATTAATCTAATGGCAGTGAGGGATTAAGCTAGCAACTTAGCTTAATATATTAGATTCAAGAAACATTGTTTGTTTTTCACATAGAGAAGAAAGAAATTGATCACAAAATAAATGGCCTTGACATTGCATAGTTCCAGTCATTCAGTTTGTTGGTTGGAGAGGCCGACCAGTGGGGAGGCCTGAAGCAAAATAGGATCTTGAGAACTCGAAAGAAAATGATGGGAAGATCCCTCATCAAGGGGATCGAAAAACAGATGGACATGAGAGCCATCTTCAATTCCATAATAAACTAGAGTGAGTTCATTTTCATTCATCAAATGGCTCGGATCATCACCAAATATCAGAATGAGTCGATCTTGAGGGAGATTTTCTTGGGTTCCAATCTCTCTCTTGAGGTCTGCAGCCGTGGCTTCATCACCGATGTGAATGTAGAAGAGTTTTCCGGTCAATATTTCCACTGTCACCCTCATTTTTTTCCAGACAATAGTGCAGTTAGCCACTCAAAACTCTTTTTTGAGACGGGGGATGAGAGAAAATCATACGCACAACATGAAAGGTGGTCATGTAGGTTGCATTCTCTATATTCAGTTTTGGTAACAAGATCAAACATCCAATGATTCTTCATGTGAGTTCAAAAAACCAATCTGGTTCACGAATTGCAATATCAATCTCATTATAGAGGAGAGTTGTTCTTGATAAAATAAAAAAGATAGCATACTTCACAGAAATCTAATGAAAAGGCAAAGAAAATCTCTGGTAAGTTTTGAATTTTTTTGAGTAATTCTATAATTTTCCCATTTTACTGTAGAACATGAACTATTAAGTACAATGAAAACTCCGCTGTTTACAGCCAATCCAACATCTGTGCTGCTAACATAACTAGAGTTGCTAGCTCTCATTAATATGTTACTACCAATCAGAATTTTATAAATGTCAAGTCATACAATCTACTAAAACACTGTTGTAAAATGGGGTCAGTAGAAGCATTCTCAGACGAAATTATGGTAGAAATTTAACTTGAGTCCATTAATCAACTACCTGAATAAAGAAAAATGCTATGTAAACCGAGCATTCTTCTCTGTTTCCATGATATCCTGCTAGTATGGCTAAACTTCACTTGCTAATAATCACACATTGACGATATCAACTAAGTAACTTATTTTCTTCACAAAAAAGGAAACTATCAATACACCAAAAATATAATGTGCATAACAGATGAATTTGATGAGATTCATTTCTTTTACCTGTTTGAAAACCAAAGCACAATATGACAAAATTGAACAGCTTGGATGATGTTGGTTTATTTTTATGGAGTCTAGTTTGTATATGTGATCCGGACGATGACTCGACCCGAAATAATGTTGTGTGATTTTTAATGGAAAATTTTCTGAGGCTTAGTCCATGGAGCGAAGGCTTGGGCCGATAGGCCCAAGCCGTAGCACTCATGGACAAGCCTCGTGGGGGTTCGGGGGCAACGCCCCCGAGGAAATTTTTTTTTTGGGCCCGTTATACAGCCCAGTGCGTAGGACATATAAACCCTGTTGTTTTGGTGATTAGGGTTAATTGTGGATGGTACAGCCGCTCTCTGTATTCAACTCTCTCAATAGTGAAATCCCTGCAGCTTTGTGGACGTAGGCAAATTGCCGAACCACGTAAAATCTGTGTCTTGTTCTTTCTTGTTTCTTATTGCTTTATATTCTTGATTTGTTCTTCGATTGTGTGTGTTTGTTAGTGGATTTAAATCGTGAGAAATCCCAACAGACGAGTCACTCACATCTGACTTTAACTTCACCTAGAGTTATCTGGCCTCGAATTTCTTCCAATTGGATTGAACGAAATCATCTATTGCTTTTGATCTCATCTCCTCCCCTGGGTCTGCTCCCTATCATTTTCAATGGGCCCTTTTGCACAAATCCTTTGAGCAAAGAGTGAGCTTCAATGCTATGGCGTGGTGGAAGCTTCACTTTCTCTTTGATGATCCTCCCATAAATCCTATTTCTATTTGAATGCTTGAATGGCAGCTGTCCAGTCAGAGTTTCATACAAGAGAATCCCAATGCTCCATTTTGACCTTCGGACAGTAAAGTATCTGGAGCCATGAATGGTTTATTCACCAATTACCTTTGCCATTCCAAAGCATCGATGAAGATATTGAATGTAATGGTGGAAATACTTGGTCCTATGTGTTTGCTCATCATTAGTTGATGGTACCATGCGCTAGAATTTACTACAATAGTTGCACCCATGATCTAAGTGTCTCCCATTTGCTCAATGTTCCTTTGGTTATAAATCTAAGATCATCAGGTGACAAAGATTCAGCTCCATCAATAGCACCCACAGGTCTGTCCGCGTTTAAACTGCTTGAAGGTAGGCTTCTGTCATTTGGACCAGCCCCTGTTGCCCTGCCTGCTAGCATAGCTTGACGACTGCTGGGTCGCAGACAAAGCCAAATATTTGATTGTGTTTAATTCCATTTGGAACATGTTCGGCAGGTGAAAGTCTCTCCAGGGATAAGTATATCATTCAAGCTACCCTTGATCCATCCATGAACCTTGTTCTTGGAATGTGTTTCAGTGTTTGTAAACCACCACAAGTTTGAATTTCCCCTATATAAATTTCTGGACACTTTCCTGCCAAAAATAAAAAAGACGAGACCTGAGGAATTTCCTTGGAATGTAATTGTTACTATTAACTATTGTAACTAAATCGGATCGAACTTTTTATAACTAAGAAGTTAAAGGACTTCCGGGAAATATGGGGGTGCAATCCAATTATGCAGAAAGCATATACGAGAGAGTAAACAACCTCTGAGCCAAATCATGTCATAAAGGCAACAATGTCCAAGCATCCCAACCCAAGCCGAAGACCACCTAAACACATATTGCTTCAACCTTTGAATTGATGGATGATGCCCCCATTTATCTGGTTTCTTTGCTTCTAACTTTTGTCTTGTTTGAGCATTGAAAGAGCCTACAGGGACAAGTGTATCTTTCAAGCTACCTTTAATTCATTCATTCATGAACCTCGTTCTGGGAAAGGTGCTTGTAACCACAACAAATCTGAATTAAATGATCCTTCACCCCTATATGTACTTCTTGACAAAACCTTCAAACAAACAAGGCCAACTTAGAGCTCTTCCCAAATTGAGGGTGTGCTACTCTTTTTCTCACTGCAAGATGAGAGAAGTGAACTCTCCGAAATTTTTATGACTAAAAGGAATAACAGGTAATATGGGGATGCAACCCAATTATACAAAAAGCATGTAGGAAAGGAAACAACCTCTAACCCAAATCATACTAACAATGTTCAAGCATCCCAACCTTGGCGGAAGACCACCAAAAATGGACGTCCTAAGACAATATACGTGTATATATATATGTATATAAATACAATATACGTATATAAATATATATATATATACGTATATTGTATTTATATATATATACTTATTTATACGTATATATATATATATATATATATATATATATATATATATATATATATATATATTAACAAATACACATGAATCAATGTGCATTAAATATTAAAGTTATTCCATAAAACTAAGAGATATTTAATGCACTATTTTTCCTAAAATGGGCATTTATGTCTTTGTATCTAACTAGTGTACTTTTTTTAAAAATATTTTTTAATATATATTTTGTGTCAAATAAGTCTAATTAGGTATACCGACTTTCAAAAACTCCAATTTTGTAAGTAGATTGGGCTCCGCACCATAGCGTACCATGTATTTGCACAGTAGTCATGACAATAACAAGGACAATTAAGTATAATAATTCCAGCCATGGGGAGAGAAGATTCTCCCTGTTGCAACGATGATTCGATTGCCAAAGCCAACCAAGCGCAAAGATGAAATGGAGGATGTACATGTACTGACACTTCTATTTAGTTTTATCGTAATTAGTATTTTTTTGAATTTTTTTATAAAACAAGAAAAAATTTAGGGTGTTTTTTCAAAATAATTTTTTGTTCTCAAAATTCTGAAAATTAGGGAGATACTGTTTGGTTAGTTTTTTTGTTCTCTAATTTTTTGAAAACTCTGAGAAATGAGGTATAATTTTAAAAAACAATAAAATGATGTTCTCACTATTTTCTAAGGCAAAATAAAAATACGAGAAGCAACCTCATCTCCAAATTAACGAGGTCTCCCTTTGAATTTTGTTGGAGACAAAAAATTGTGACAGTCAACTTCTTCTCCATCACTCTCATTGAGTGCTCTCTCTCTCTCTCTCTCTCTTTTGCATCTTTCCCTCTCTCCGTCTCTCTCTCGCAACTATTGAATCCAGCTTTAGATCTGTATATATACACAGATCTGTGCTTTATGTAGATCTGTGTATATATACAAATTTCACATTAAGACTGTCGGATCAATAATCTCTTTAAACAATCAAAATCGTAAAAAATTCAAGACAAACAATCTAATTACTGTATATATATATATATATATATATATATATATATATATATATATATATATATAAATATCTACAAACGAGAAGAGACATCTAAAACCTCAATCCTATTTTCTCAAATTTTTTATAATTTAAGTTTCTTAAAATCTAATATGTGGCACTACTATTGGTCCATATATATTTTTCATGCAACTTCCAAAACCTCAATCCTATTTTCTCAAATTTTTTATTATTTAACTTTCTTAAAATCTAATATCTGACACTACTATTGACCCATACATATTTTTCATGCAATTTATTTGAACTAAATTTATCTCAAATTACGATTGCAATTATTTGAATTTTGAATTAAACTTATATGTGTCCTTTAAGTCACTAGACTTCTAATTTTTTTTACCTTAGAGTTCCAATTTGCTAGGACTCCCACAATATCCAACTTCCCATCCTTACTCCACCGGTTTGTGGCTTCCCCCATGCACAACTCTCCTTCTCTTATCCTTCTTAACTTCCCACTCTCACATAAATCTTCGTATCAATCTTCATTGTTCACAATTGGTTTTTTTATAATCTTCATTCTATCTGTTTTTCATCCCTATAATTTCATTATTGTCCGTGCATTGCACAGGATACTGTTAGTGTATATATCAATGTAATGGAGTTGGATGAACTCCAAAATCTCATCCCAATTTTTTTGAATTTTTATTTTTTAAATTGTTAAATTGCACTTGGAATTATACCATTGGCCCTTTGTTTTTGAATAACTTAAAATATCTTAACCATCCCAAGTTTCTCTCTTACCATCTTCCCCTTTTATCTCTCTCTTTCTCTCTCTCTCACACACACACACACTATCTCTTCCCTCTAAATATATATTTTTGTGGAATCTTTCCTCATCAAGTACCCGATTTTTTTAATTCAAAATTATTTAATAAAATGCATTGATCTCATCAAATTAAATCATTCCATATGGCTTACAAAACTAAGTATTTACTCTCATAAAATTATTTTAGGGTTAATTACAAAATGTCCACTTCAACTTTGGATAGTTTGTAACTCACTCCATCATATTTTAATTTCAACAAATAGCTCTTTAAATTTGAATATTTCTAATAGTTATTTTTAAACAATAAAAATTTACAAAAGTTAGATATGTCAAATTCACCTGATCACTACTTTTTTCAAAAGCAATGATTATCTTTTACACCTATTTTCCCCCTCTATCAATATTCATACTTCCCCCTTTACTCTTATACCCTTCCATACTCCCCTACCTTGAATGGTTAAATATCATTCTCTTCCCCTTTCCAGTAGAAATCCACCATTCCCTATGATGAGGTGGAGGCAAAAGTTTTCTTATTTTTTAGTCTTAACTTTTTCATTTCTTTATTTTTTAGGAACAAATTTAGTATCTTACGAAAAAATACAAGAAGTAATATACAAGACGGATGGTGTAATATTTCTTTTCGGTTAAAATAGTGAGAGATTCACTACCTCTTCAAGTTATCACAATGCACATAGAGACAGTGTTAGGTAGAAGTTTTGAACCGATGAAGCTCATTTTTTTTAGAACAATGCTATATAACTTAAATCTACAACCCAAATTTGCATCTTAAATAAAAGGGATTATTGAATCAGTAAGTTCCATTTACAAAGAGCAATGCTATGTAATCTAAATCTACGACTCAAATTTGTGTGAAGGGGATCATTGGATCAGTGGATTCCATTTAAAAAAGTTAATAAGACTCACTTATCCAATAATTCCCCTTCACTTGTGATACAAATTTGGATTGTAAATTTAGGTTATATAGTATTTTTTTTAAAAAAAATTGATGGGACCTATTTATCCAATAGTCTCCCTTCATTTGGAACATAAATTTGAGTTACACAATATTTTCCTTTTTGTTTTTTATATATGGCAGCACTATGTCAAACAAGTGGGAATGGGAAAGGAGTGGAACGGTTCAACTTCTAGCGAATTTCTGATTTTCATTGCATATTGAATGCTTTTACGTTAGCTACATGAAATTCATTCCACAATCATGTTTGAGGGTAATTAATTTGACACTATTTAATTTTATTTAATTGTTTAAGGGTAATTATGGAGAAAAAATTTGATTTAGTAGTCTTTCAGAAATAGTATAGCATTAGTGTTGTTGCTCTTAGAGCGCCCAATTAATATTCCACGTATGTGACCCGCCTACAACTATTTACTAAACAATTAATTGAATAAAATCTTATGAGAGCATCTCAAACCTTAACTTAAATTTAGACTCAAATTTAATTTTAAATAAAAAAAGCTTAAAAAACTTGATCTGGGTCATCTCTAACCTTGACTCAAATTTAAATTTGAATAAAAAAAATCTAAAAACTTGTTTCAACCCTTACTCAAACTTATACTAAATAAAGTGAGACTTTTTGTTTTACTCAAATTAAAGGAGATTCAAATTATTATCCAAATTTTTAATGGTGAGAGTTCACCATCTTTTAAAGATCCAATGATCATCATTACTCTTATTTAATTTTGAGTTTGCCCTCATTTAAATTTAGGTTTCTCATTCTTTAAATTTGAGTTTGTCAATTGGAGCCTTTTGTATCAAATCAAACTTTTTACTCAAATATTAACTTAAATTTGAGTATGGTTGAAGATGCTCTCCTTTGACTCAAACTTATACCAAATCAAGATAAACTCATTTTTTT